ACTCTAAACATTATTGAACACTAGAGGCCCCGGTGCAATAAATTTGTGTACGGGGGGGAGGGGGTGTTTGTCCCTCAGCCCAGCCTGCACCCTCTTGCAGTACGGAAGCCCTCGAGGGATATCCAACTGACAGCATAGGCCCACTTCCCACGGGGAGCAGGCCTAAGCCAGCAGTTGGACATCCTTAGCGCTGCTGCAGAGGCTTATGGCTAAACGGCACTCCCCCTGTGGGAGCACACTGACCACCAGGGGGCAGATCCTGCACTGAACATCTGCCCCCCGGTGGTCAGTGCACGTCATAGTGACCTGTGGTTCCACTGTTCGGTCGATTTGCATATTAGCCTTTTATTATATAGGATACTATGACTACTTAAACAAAGCCATGTTGAGATGTTGGATGTCCAGCTAAGTCCTCTCACAAGCTATGTGAGCACATCATTGTCAGAGCTCACACAATTCAAATCTGTGCCTCAGCAAAACTATAATCTACTACATCACAAAAATTCAAGCCAGTGAAGAAGAGTCAATGTGGCCAGGGGAAGTCCCTGAATACCAGTATCTATGACACACAACCAAAAATCTTCGTTGAGACAATAAAAGACAACAGATGTATAAGCTAGATCAAATAACTTTTAGATTAATTTGTCCCTTCTTAGCCAGTAGATGTGATCAAGTCAAAAAGGTAAACATCAATGAAACATTTTTTTTATTTCCATATTGCAAAAAGTCTCCTCCTCTATATTAGATAAAACTTGCAATTACCAGGTATACCATGGACAAGTTAAACAACATTTTTAAAAATTATAAATAGTCTAATATTTATAGTTAGGTTCAAAAAAAAAAAAAAGCCAGATTTCACTGATCTTTTTTGGCCTATCAAATATTTGGTCTCATCTAGTCTATCTACAGTTTTAATAAGAAAAGGAAACCAGAAAGTCTGACCAAATTATCATAAAATCACTTACCAATTGGTCTGGATTAAGTTGCTCTCCATTTTTCAGGCGATCCTTATAATCTTCCAATTTGAGCTACAAAATAGAAACTTGCATCTATTACAGTCTGATATAAAATTCTCAAGCAAATAAATACTAGACTTTGTTTCTTATGAAAACAGTTACTAAAGTAATCCATCAATCTGCAAAAGTATCATTTTACTACAAAGCACTCAGCAACTGAGTACATGAGTTCTAGTCAGGGGAAAAAATATCACACACAAATGAACATTTGTCTGGTATTACAAAAGTAATAAAATGGTTTTTTTCTCTTAATAGCCTCTCTACATGTTTAGACTACAAAGACTTAACTAGGTAATCATATGCCCTTAACCAAGTGGTGCCCAGTCAGGGCAATATGTCCCCCAGGGATATCTGGCAATGTCTGGACATACTTTTGGTTATCACAACTTGGGGACTGGCAGACAGGTGGAGCATGCTACTGGCATTTTGTGGGTAGACACCAGAGATGTTGCTAAACATCCTACAATTCATAGGACAGCCCCACACATCAAAGAATTATCCAGCCTCAAAAGTCAACAGTGCTGACCCTAGCTGGTTTGGCTCAGTGGATGGAGCATCAGCCTGTGGACTGAAGGGTCCCAGGTTCGATTCCAATCAGGGGCACATGCCCAGCTTATGGGCTCAATCCCCAGAGTGGGGTGTGCAGGAGGCAGTTGATCAATGATTCTCTCTCATCATTGATGTTTCTATCTCTCTCCCTCTCCCTTCCCCTCTGAAATCAATAAAAAAATATATATATTTTTTAAAAAGTCAATAGTGCTGAGGCTGAGAAACCCTACTCGAACCTCATGCGTAAACCGTTAGTCACCTGTTGAGTTTTGTGGCATTTGTTGGATAAAAAACTTCCTAATGGAAGTATAGAAATGTAAAAGATTTCTTTTCTAGCATTATAGTAGCCTCAAACTGAAGCTATTTTTATATTAAATTTGATATTTAAGTAAACACACAACAAATAAATTGCATTTATTGTCCCCATGAAAATTACATGGCCCATGATGGTATTCTAAAAGAACACTTAGACTCCTCCCCATTTGGCTTTATAGCTTTAAAATGTTTTCTCAGAAGCTTGAAACAAAAGCTTTGGTATTGTCAGATAGGTATTCAAAGAGATAGTATCATGAAGCCAGAGAGGATAAGTATACCTGCACACATAGTTCCTCCATCAGTAGATCTTGCTTTGAATAGGTCCTGCCCTGACTAGTTTCCAACAGTGGCAGGGAATTTGTGCTGACCGAGGCACACTCACCTTATCACTCTGGTGATCAACTCTATGCATTCAAAAGACAACTGGCAAGAACTAGCGCTACACAGAAGCTACTCATAACTGGCCCTTCTTCACTATGTTCCTGGGTATATTTTTTAAAATTAAAAAAAAAAAATTTTAGAAGGAAAAGAAACAATCAGACTTTTTTTTAAAAAAATCTCTTCTCACTCCTCCATTACAAACAACTTTCCTAAGGTTTAACTAGGTCTTGGCATAAAAATATTGAAGAGTTCCTAGGTCAGAGGGTGAATGACTCACCTTATCATCACGAGCAAAGAGAATCGTGACACAACAAAGCAACGTGCAGCACTGTTCCACAGGCTACATGACTCAGGAAATGAGGAATGATGTGGAGATCTTTACATCAGCATCTACTGTAACCTTAGGCTGAGTATAACCTCAGAGTCCCTTTGCAAGGCTCTCTACAATGCTTTCACCCACCAATCTTAAAGGATCACCTGGCAACCCAGAAATTAGTGCTGAAACATTTTCTGGCTCCACCATCATTAAAGCTTCCAATGACTGCAGCATCTATACTGCAATATCAACTGCTGCAGAAAGTCACACGGGAAACGAGCTAAAAAAAATCAGGCAATCTCTGAAAAGAAACATCACTACTACACTCAAGGAATTAACCTGACTTAAAGTAGCTAGCTCTTCAAACATTTCAACAGTAGCATGCATAATGTTACTATGAAGAATATTTGTATTCAGTCATGCTGACAAATCAAACAGAACATGTTTAATATATCCAATATTTAGCCTGCTTGTATGTTTTCAGCCAGCTAAATCCCAAGGTTAGTTAAATCTCTGGGAAGTAATCTATGAGCCCTGATAAAAAGCCAAAATGTCAGTTCCTTAACCCTTACCTAAAATGGTGCATATGCCTATATGCCTGGCTAGGAGAAAGGGAAGAAAAAAAAAAAGTTACCTTCTTTTTCTCGATGTTTCTAATTTTGTGTTTAAGGCATATGAGTCCATTGTCAATGTAGGTCTCATATGCTTGAGAAGGAGAGGCCGCGGACCGGAGAGGAGACTGCAAGGGGCTCAGGGCCCGCTGGCTTTCCCCAAGGCTGTGGTTCACTTGGGGCTTGGCCGACTTCATAGTCCCCTCCCTTCCCTCCTCCGAATGGCCTGAAGGTGTCTGGTAATCAAAATGCGATGAAGAGAACTGCACCATTGAAACAGCTGATCCTGAAGGAGGGAAGGGGGAAAAGTTCAGTATCAAAGTAAATTAGGACTAGAGGGGCCCATCCGGGGTTCCCCTTCCGGGAAACAGACCCACTCCCTCGAAATTCTCCTCCACAGAAGCGAAGAGTGATGGTTCAGCGCCCAGTGATGGTTCTGAGGCTGCGCCTCCATCTCCCTGCGCGCAAAGGAATCAGCGCCAAGGACTAGCACCTTTACCAGGCAAGACCGACAACACGGGGAATGTTTCCAGAAACTCCGTTTTCCACACACGAGGAAGGACTGCTGCTCAAGCAATGGCTGCAGAGCTTTCTCATGACAGCAGTCTGCATTCTGAAGAATGTCTATGGTCCGCTGATGACACAAAGAAAATAAGCTTTCCCCTCTTTACACTATCCCTCGCCACCAGCCTGAAGCCCAATCATTGACAACAACATGAAGAATGAAGAATGAAAAAGAAAGAAAGAAAGAAAGAAAGAAAGAAAGAAAGAAAAAAAGAAAGAAAGAAAGAAAGAAAGAAAGAGAAAGAAAGAAGAGGAAAGAAAAGAACTAAAAAAACAAAACAAACAAACCAGAACACAATTTTTTTAGAACTCTCACTAACTGAAAAGTAGCTTCTTGAGCGAGGCTAACTTCCCTTTGCTCTGCGGCCAGCAAGGCAAGTCCGTCGCCACTGCACGTTTGTAGCGAGGAACTTACTCTCTCGGGCTACCAGCGCCCTAAACGGTTTTCTGTTTTGTTGAAACTAACCCATAACTACACCCAACCACTGGCTAAGGGGTCATCTTGGGGAGCCTGACCCGGCCCCGGTGAGTGGCCTTCGCACACGCCTCGTCCCGCGCATCGGAGGTGTCCCTCCCACCCCCTCAGGAGCATCCCCAAACTAAGGGCATGACCAGCCCCATGCGTGTCCGCGCTGATCCCCGCCTCCACCCGCCGCACTAGGCGCCCCGGGGACACCGACCCCCGCCCTTCCCCCAGCCCTCGGGACGCCCAGGCACCAGCCCGGGCCACTTCTGCAGGCGCCCCACAGGAGGAGCACCCCGAGAAAAACCCAGGACCACCGCCGGGAGGGCCCCGCCCGGGGGATGCCGAGCCGCCCCCTACCTCCCGGCGGCCGGGGCCGCCCAGCCCTGCCCACCCTGCCAGGCCAGCCGCCCCCTCCAGCCGCCGCAGCCCGGCTTCACCTCCGCAGGCCGCTGCGGGTGCCGCAGCCCGGGCCGGCCTCCGAAGTCGGGCGGGAGCCAGGAGAGCTCCGTCGGTGGACCGGCGCCACCCGGCCCGGCGTCTGCTCCCGGCTCCCTCCTCTCGGCTCCCGGGCCAGCTGGCGGCGTCTACGGCGCCCGGCGCTCGCCGACTCAGCGCTCCCTCCCAGGCCGGCGCGCTGAGCCGCGCGTGGCTTATATAGGCGCGCCCTCCCGCCCCCCGCCCCCCACGCGCCCGCTCGCGCAGCCCCGTGCGGTCCGACACCGCCTCCTCCCGTGCCCCCGCCGCGGCCGCAGCAGCAGCAGCCTGGCCCCGGGGGCGTTTGCTCCAGGTCCAGCCGCGGCGGGAACGCGATCGCGAGTGGGCGCGGTCTCCCCGCGTTTGCGCAGGTTTGAGGGCGCGAGGTAGAGCCGGTATGAAACCCAGAGCCGACCCGCCGTAGACCCCCAAGGTCCTGCGGGACCTTGCTGATTGCAAACCGGAATCACTGCATGTGCGACCTTGAACAGGTGATTTCGATCATTCGGTAAAGGCCACAGGCCCTTTGCGGAATTGCCAGTTCAACGGAGCTGGAGCCTCTGGTGGTGTAGGTGGGCACTCTTGAAATGCAAGGGTGCCTTTGCCCCCACCTCTGACCCCACCCCAACCCCCCCCCCCCCTCCGTCAGTCCATCCTTGACTCAGCCTCTAAGAGCAGAATGCCCCAATATTGCCATAAACACGGAGTGGGAGGCCGTTTTATTTGCTGCTTTGAAACAGAGGAATTGGCACTCAGAGAAAAAAAACTGATAGAAATCTTGGTAAGGTTGCATAAAATTAAGAGAAAAGGCTGGAAATACATCAGTGTTTCTAAAGGAAGGGATGGTGTTTCTCATACCGAACGAATAAGAGGGGGAGGGAGGCAGTACCACCCAGCAATACTTGGGCCCCAATATGTGTCCAGCTATTACACCAAATAGAATTGTTTTGGTTCTGTCCCTGAGACTGATAAAAATTATTTAGACTGGCAAGAGAAGAACAGAGAAAACTCAGAACTATAATCAAGGAAACAAAGGTCCAAGTTTCAAAAGTGTTGGCTGAGTCCACACAAAAATCATCACGATGTTTAGCATTTCTTGATAGAGTATTTTTCCCGTGATTATCTGTGTTCGTTTCAGTCCCTAGTGATATAATGTACCTTAATGTTGCATTTTTGCTTTGAATCTCTGAATCCCATATGTGTCCTTGAGGGCCAGGCAAATATTAGATTGTTGATTTGTTTCATTGTTTATAACCAGAGAAAGAAGTGAAGATACTGAGAATGAGGGCAGGAAAGCTGTACGCTCACCCTTGAGGAAAATCAAAACAGTGGGCATAGCTTTAAAAAAAAAAAAAATGTGAAGGACAACTTTCTCATCAATAAGCCCAAAGTCACAGCACAGGTTATACCTATTGTAGCCTGATTTAATAATGACCCTAAAGAAGGTATTTCAGTTATATTAATCATGAAATGTTTGCCTTCTGATTGACCCAAAAAAACTACCCCTTGGTTCATATAGATCTAGCCATAGACCCTAAATATTCCACTACATAGAATAATTCTGAATAAATCTATACAGATTTATTTCCAAACATAGATTCAGAAAATGAATCAAGAAAGAATGCAAAAGCATGCCTGGCCAGTGTGGCTCAGTGATTGAGCATCAACCCTTGAGCCAAGAGGTGTCCCAAATGATCCATGTTCTGATCAGGGCAGGTGCCCTGGTTATGGGCTGGATCCCCAGTAGGGGGTGTGCAGGAGGCAGCCAAACAATGTTTCTCTCTCATCGATGTTTCTATCTCTCCTTCTCTCTCCCTTCCTCTCTCTCTAAAGAATCAATAAAAACATATTTTTTTTAAAAAAGGAAGAATGCACCTTTCTCTGCCATCGAGGTACACGCGTTCACTTCTCCTTCACCGTGTCTTCCCAGAAGACTTTCAGGATCATGAGGTACCTGGCCAAGAAACAAAAGCAGAATCGGCCCATTCCCCAGTGGATTTGGATGAAAACTGGTGATAAAATCAGGTACAACTCGAAGAGGAGACATTGGAGAAGAACCAAACTGGACCAATGAGAAATCACACATGAGAGATTACTCACATGCTGTATCCAGGTTGCCTACACCCTTAAGTGATTGAAAAGATGCTACTGTCTGGACAGTTGGGGCATTTTAATTAGAAGATTAATGAACTTGTGATTTTGCTCTGTTGATTTTTTTCCCCTGAAATAGGTTGGTTCAGTAATAAATGTGTGAGATCTTTAAAAAAAATAAAGAAAGAAAGAAAGAATGCAAAAGCAAAAATAATTAAATTTCAAGCTCAATAAGGTGAAGTCTGTATAAGCATAGCATAACATTTATAGGAGATTGTGTCTCAGTAGATAATGTTGCTCTCCTTCCCCTTGTAACCATCCCCACAAAACTGAGGAAATCAAGGACTTTCTGCTCGCAGCCAAGCAAAAGGATGCCAAGTCTGTTGAGATTAAGAAAAATAAGAATAATGTGAAGTTTAAAGCTGAATGCAGCAGGTACTTTTATACCTTGGTCATCACAGACAAGGAGAAGGCTGAGGAACTGAAGCATCCCTCCCTCTCTTCTCTCCCCACATCCCCCCAGGCAGTGAAGGAGCTAAGATGGGTCAGGCACGTTGCTTTGCACTATATCTCACACACACACACACACACACACACCTTTTTATTTTAAAAAGCTGACAATGTCCTCTTTTTTCTTAAAAATAATTACTCATTTAATTTTAAAAGTACTTTTGAGTTAGATAAACATACTTTTCCATGTTGCTTATATAGACCAATTTTTTCTTTCTAAGAATCTGATAAATTTAAAAGTAGCAATTATTGTCCAGCCAGTGTGGCTCAGTAGTTAAGTGTCAACCTATGAACCAGGAGGTCATGGTTCAATTCCTGGTCAAGGCATATGCTAGGGCCATCGGCTCACTCCCCAGTGTGGGGTGTGCAGGAGGCAGCAGATCAATGGAAGTCTCATCATTGATGTTTCTCTCTAAATAACAAGGTGACATCTGCCCTGCTATATAATATGGTAAAATAGCAAATGAGAAAGTAGCACTAACTATGTATTTATTTCATGTACTAAATTACTTAATGCTCATGACCACTATGTATTAGTTACTATTGTTATCCCCATTTTATAGGAAAATAAATTAAGACTCACAGAGGTTAAATAATATCCCTATAGTCATACAGCTATTATGTGATGCCTATTGTTGTGTTTGTTGTTGTTGTTGTCTTATAAACATGGCTTTTAAAAAATATCTATTCTGTCTTTGTAAATGCAACAGCTTTTTATCACTTTGAGACCACAAGTTATAGGTCTTCATTTTTCTGATTCCTCTATGTCTCCATTTCCTTCAAAGCCTCTTATCTCTATGTTTTCCATGCCAAAGACTTTCCCCAAATGCCTGGCAAATCTTGCTTATTCATTTATATTTAAGAGTGAGGCACTGAAACCTAGTAAGAAGCCCTGTGTGTAGACTTGATTGCAGAATGATTGGGCAGGGGCCCAGCCCTTCCCTAGGAGACGCCTCCCACATCTCTGGGTGTTTTCCTGGGTGGTCATTTTCCCCGGGGAGAGATCTGCCTCCTTCCTTGCCTCGGTGGGTGGCAACCTGGTTGCCAGCATTCTGGGAGCCACGTGAGGGACAGAGGCTCAGAATCTCACTTGGCGAGATATCGACTTCCACTTAATCCCCCACTTTCTGCAGCGCTCCCTGCCTTCTCCCTGTGCCTGACCTCGGAGTCCCTCAATTCAGCGCCCTCCCATGTTCTTCTGGCCTGTGGTGTGGAAAGCGATACAGGGCCCAACTTCTTCATTTATAGGATTTCAACCCATCTTTCTGGTTTCAGTCCGCCTTTAGCGATAACTGGCACCGCAATTCCTGAGATTCCCCAGTGCTCTAAAGCAGGGTTTTACTTCTTGGCTTCCTGCTTGGCAAGCAGTATGGTTTCAGCTTTCCCTGGTCTGCTCCATCAGTTAGCAACTGCCCATCTGCTATTTGGCTTCCAAAATTGATTGACATCTCTCAACGGCTCTTGTACTCCCTACTGTTGTCTGACCTCATGTTCTCTTCTTCCTCAGAGCTTTATGTTTAATCCCTGAATGAGACTCTGGGTGGAGATTCAAGAAAAAGCCGGGCTAAATGCAAGTGTCCAGTCTGCCAGGTGGAGTGAGAAGCCTGGGCTTTGGCCTCGCTGCTGTGCTGCCTCTGTGCAGAACTGCATGCCTGTCCTCCACACACATGATTGTCCCACGCCCCTAGGAAAATAAAAGTAAAGTAAAAAGTTCCCACACTCCTCAGGAAAGATGAAATGTTCCGTAGTTATGGCAACAAGGAACCACCAGAACCAGTTCTAAACTGGTTTGATGGATCAATGACAGCTTGCCTCGGTTTAATGAATCAGTGGCAACTTGCCTAAGGGAACACACTTCTGAAAGTCAGCCAATGCGCATCCTTCTCGTCTAAACAACCAGGTTTCCACAGCCGACCTCAACCCACTGCTGCCTCTGAACGTCCACCAACCGCTCCCTCAGCTCCGTACTTCCCAAACGCTAAGCAATCAGCTCCCTGCTCTCCTGGGGGAGACTGTGCTCTGGCTAAGTATTAAATTCCGCTTTTTGTAGAAGTATGGAGTGCTGGTCTTTCCCTTTGACAGAGCTCAGAACTACCACCTGTCTGGTGCATGGGAGAGACTCAGTGGGCAGAGCAGGGGAGGTGCCAGGGCAACTGCGCCTGAAATAAAAGGGCCTGGGCTGTTTGCCCGAGTGAGCCCTGTGCCAAGGTGCAAAGCAGGTTCGTACAACATTCACTCATCGGTCCAAATTTATGGGGACCTGAGAGATGAGGGATGTAGGTATCCGCTTGCAGAAGCATGTTCCCTGCCACTTTTGATTCTGTATGGTTAACGGTATGTAACCTAAACGATGACTAGGTTTTAATCCTGGCCGGTTTGGCTCAGTGGATAGAGCGTCAGCCTAAGGACTGAAAGGTCCTAGGTTCGATTCCAGCCAGGGGCACATGCCCAGGTTGCGGGCTCAGTCCCCAGTAGGGGGGCATGCAGGAGGCAGGAAATCAATGATTCTCTCTCATCATTGATGTTTCTATCTCTCTCTCCCTCTCCCTTCCTCTCTGAAATCAATAAAAATATTTTTTAATAAAACACAAAAAACAGTGACTAGGTTTAGGTTTGTTTGTTTGCTTGTTTTAGTACACTGTATTTTCAACCATGTTTTCTTTATCCTAAATTAAAGAAGGAAGGGAGAATCCTCCCTCAACAGAGATCACATTTTCAGTGGCCAAACTGATTCTAACAAATGCTATACAAAGAATACCCTCTACGGAACCCAGTTTATTGCAGGTGGAAACAATCCAAATGCTCATCAATGGAAACATGCTGAAGCATATTGTGGCACATACATATAACAGAATATAATGTAGTCATATAAAGTCAGGGAGTACGGATGCATGCTACACCTCGGATGAAATCTGCAAACATTATGCTAAGAAAAAAGCAGAGACAAAAGGTCTGCTTGAGTGAGGGATTCCTTTTTTTATGATATATCCAGAATAGGCACACCCACAGAGGCAAAAAGCATAGTAGTGGTTATCAGGGAATGAGAGGAGGGGACGGTGAGTACTTAATGATGGATGCTTTTCTAGGGTGATAAAAAAAACATTGAAGTGCCCTAACTGGTTTGGCTCAGTGGATAGAGCATTGGCTTGCGGACTGAAAGATTCCAGGTTTGATTCCGGTCAAGGGCATGTACCTTGGTTGCGGGCACATCCCCAGTGGGAGGTGTGCAGGAGGAAGCTGATCGATGTTTCTAACTCTCTATCCCTCTCCTTTCGTCTCCATAAAAAAATCAATAAAATATATATATATTTTTAAAAAAGCATTAAAGCTAGAGAGAAGTGGTAGTTACACGACATTGTGAATACTCTAAATGCCACTGACTTGTAGACTTTACAATGATTAATTCTGTTATATGTGAATTTCACCTCGATAAAAAAGAAATACATAACACAATACTACATATTGCCTTCTGCTTGGGAGATGTTACTTTTGCAAGCGTGTAAGCAGTTCGGATCTCATTTACTTATCTTAGCAATGAAACAGGGGTTTGGGTGCAATTTACAGCCAAACTTGCGGCATGAGCAAGTGTCTGTTTCAAAATGGGAAAGTGTTCTAACTCTTTTAATGACCTCTCTAGGGGCAAAAATTATGGGCTGTGGAAACTGGGTTGTAATTCTAGTACTTGAGTGACACAGGGGAATAGGCCTGATGGGAGGGTTTTCTTCGACAGCAACATGAAATAACAAAAAAAGAATGATTTCCGGATAAAGAACGATTTCTCTTAGATTTTTGGCAGAATTTACTTTGTTCTTATCTCGTTTTGCATATCTCAATATGCATGATTTGTCTTATAGAAGAAGAGACCGCGCACACCTTACCGGGTAAGGTACGTCAGGACTGATTTTCTGGGCTCCGTGATCTTTTCCCCCAGGTGACGTTAGACCCAGCCAGTGCTCTTCTGTTTCCAGCATTGCTCTTGTCCGGCACAGACACCCCCAAAGAAACCCTGCTAACCCTTTGAGGAGTGGAAGTTGGAGTTGTTTGCAGGGGTTTCCTGGTGTGTTCGTTAGTTTTTGCTGCATCCTAGACAACCCCAAAGCTCAATGGCTCAAAATAATACCCAGCCTTCAACCTGTGGATCAGCAGCTTGGGCTCCGTGGGCAATTCCTCTATGGCCCTACTCATGCCTTGGCTGTCAGCTGGTCTGCAGGGGGTTTGGCTGGTCCTCAGTGGCCTCACTTGCATGCCTGACAGGTAGCAGCTGGCTGTGGGATAGGGCACCTCGGTCCTTCTCCAAACGCCTCTCATCTTCTGCCAGGCTAGCCCAGGCCTGCTCAGAGCTCACTTGGCATCACTTCAATCACATCCTTTTCAGCAAAGAGACTCATAAGACCAGCCCAGATTCAAGGGGTAGGGAAGAGATACTACCTCTTCGTAGTGGGAGATGAATTGTGACCATTTTTGCAATCTATCACAACTGCAGT